AATTATTAGTCTACATAAAATTGTTGTCAATAAAAAGGTCAAAATACTATGATATTTGATTTTCTCTATATCACTCAGGCCTATGGTTAGCATCAGCAGCACACCTTCAAACATAACTGTTTTTCCTTTTTCTTCACTAATATGTTAACTCTATGTGTTCACCTTTTTGCTCCTGTATTAATGTTTTTTTATTATATGTGGTTATGCATGTGTGCTTTTTATTATGTGTGTCTAGCTCTAGTTTTTTTATTGCTACTACGGCAAAACCAAATGCCCCTCTGGGACAAATAAAGGCCTTGAATATTGAATTGTGGGGTCAAATTTGTGTCATTGCTGTAATTTATGACGAAGTTACATGGTGCAATCTTGGTTGTGGGGATATCCAGGATTTGTTGCTCCCACCTGCTCAAACCAAGCCACACACACATGAAAAACATTCAATTCTCCCTTGTCTCTCACAGTTTTAAAGGCTCAACTCCCAGCACGCTACCATTCTTGTCACAACTAACTCCCACTGCTTGCCCGGGGTCAGCAAAGAAATCCCAACACACGTACAGTCACCGGTCTCTTCTTTTTACCCGGCAGCGAGGCTCCTCAACGCCTCCCTGTCTCTCCAAAGGCACGCAACCAGCAAGCCTGGTCCTTCAGCGGCTTGCTGATTGTGAACATTGCCAATTATGTTAAAAGGGGCAGCTGGCCAAGCGGGAAGCACCCAGGTCTCTGCCAAAATGGTCCCTGTAGAGTCCTTCACCTAATATGGAACTGTTTCTTATTCCAGGAAACATTTACCTCCAGGATCAGAGCGTCCCTCCACATCAAGACATCAGTTTGATTCATGGCAAATTTGTTTCATATTTTTCTCCACTAAAAAGTTACCATCATACAAACATCACACAAACACGCATTGCTTTTAAATGGAATTAAAACTATGACATTATTATAGGGGTATACTGAATGTCTTCCTTTAAATACTCAAAGCTTTCATTGAAGTTTTCGAGTGAAGCTTTGAATGTCTCATCATCTTTTATGACTTCATCACCCTAAAAAAAAACCTCAAACAAATTATTAAATTATTACAAATTATGGTGCTGTTGGACTGCTCTTCGACCACCCCGTTAATATAGATGTGTGACTTCCATAGTAATCTCACAGAAATATATGAAATGACAATGACTTCTTGACATTGCATTACGTGGTGGCACAGTTGGGTTTACGCACCAAAACTGCTTGGTTAGGTTTAGAAAAAGCGGTTTCCATTAGAATAACTACATTTGTTACGATGTCAGTACAGCACGTAGCATGATGTCACTAGGGGTGGGAATCATGATATGATATTATCACAACACATAAGTCATGATACAAATTAAGTCCCCAAAGGAAAACTTTGTCAGTTTTATCTAATCAGATAAAGTTTTCTGTCTGTTCATCTCACCTCAAGCATTTTTTTGCTGCACCAAAATGTATCTAGGGGACTGGAAATGTAATTGATTATATTATTCTAGTAAGCTACCTAAAGTTCAGTCAGAATTTGTAATATTAATTATTCCTTTAATAAAAAAATCAATACTTGGCACTATGTGATGATACGATATTACCACACAAAAATATTGCGATACTATGCTGTACAGATTTTTTCCTCACCCCTAGATGTCACTATGTAAAGAACAGAAATGCGTAAAACTAAAAGAAGTCATCGCTGACTTTTTGTTTCACACTGGACACAAACAGCAGTGTCCTGGATGAAAGTCCTGTGTTTGTTTGACCCATCCATCCTTACCTCCTCCCTACACAGACTTTCTTGTTCTTTTTGCTACTAGTGGGCTCGTACCATTAACTATCACCCAACACGTGACGTCATATAACTAGGGAACTTGTCTGATAATGACATACCCACATGATATGCATACTCTCAGCGCATTTAAGAGGCAAAAAAATAAAAAATTTAAAAAAATCCAGAGGACACGCCCAAACTTTTAACCACATTTATAGAGGTAATAACAGATTTTGCTAGCTCTATCGCTACTGGTAGGCCATACTGAGCTTGTAGCACTATTTGACACAACAGCAGCATGTAATTTTAGCATCAGTACCACATAATACGGTGTTAAGAGGTCAGGGTTATTTCATGTATTTCTATGAGACGGGGATGGGTACCGGAACCCGGTAATCCTGTTCTGAATTTCTTTTTCAATTAATATATTTTCTAAAAAGCAATTATTTAGAAATGAAAAAGTACAGATAACAGTATCAATAAAGCACCGAACCAATAAGAAGTATCGATAACAGCAGTAGTATTGATAAAATCTTGATGATACCCATCCCCACTGTGAGACCAGGTTGGTGCCTCCCTGCAGTGAAAATGTTGTTTTCAAAAACGGATTGACGCTAAATGTTTAATTAGATAAAAACATGCTGTGAATTTGGGAAATTATTACATAGATTGTTTTTGATACATTTTGACTTTTTGACAATTTAAAATGTTTGGATCACGGGGCATCGGTGGCTTAGTGGTAGAGCAGGTGACCCATGTACAAGGCTGTAGCCACAGCGGCCCGGGTTCGACTCCAGCCTGTAGCCCTTTGCTACATGTCACTCCCTCTCTCTCTCTCCCTGCTTCACACTTGTCTGTCCTATCAAATAAAGGCTAAAAATGCCCAAAAAATATCTTAAAAAAAAAAATAAAATGTTTGGATCACAAGAAACGGAAACAATCTTCTGCAGCCACTGCTGGAATCTAATTCCAGTACAAAACAAATATTTCTGTAGCCTTATCTTTATGTGTTGCTGTGCAGAAATACCTGGTTATAACAGAATGAATAAACATTTTTCTAAAAAAGCTACAAAGCTTTGGACTATTCAGTACAGCCCTCCATTACCAATCATAATAGATACCAGCAATCACGACTACTGATACTGCATTCATCCTGTTTTTACCATGCTGCTAAACACACAGCTGCTATGCACCATTTCCTAACAAAACACAGCTCCTTATGTTTACCACACTCCTCTGCAGGGGTTTATTTCTTTGTGTGTTTCTTCTTCCCACAATTGTGATGAAAATGACTTTTGGCAGCTAACAGATTTTGAATGTAATGTTTTGGTGCAGCTTGTGAACTCAGCACCCCTACAGGAACATACCTGTCAATGTCGAACGCTCCACCACACAGAGAATGCTTTCATGGCTCGTACTCCAACCTGCTCCCGAATAACCAAATTGTAAAGTAAAAATAAACAACTGCTGTTTCACTGGAAACAGTAATGTCACTTGACATCAGTGCAACTGGAGTACTTACTCGCTTGGTGAATTTTTCTGTTTAAAACATATTGGGCTTCATGCGAAAACATTTTTTGTATTCTTCTCCTGAAACATGTTTATTCTGTGAGGCTTGTTTGTGCAAGTGTTCCAATTCAGATTCATTAAAATCTCTCAACTGCATTAACTTGTCATAAATTACTTGTTTTGACCTGATGAGTGCCAACTTTGCACGAGTTACTGCGCATGAATGAGATTTGATCATAAGCATGATCGATGGCACCAGATTGCTAAACCAAACTAACAGTTCCCATCCATTTGTGGGTGAGATTTAACCGTTAACTGCGACCGTAAATTTTTTATTTATCCAAAACAGATTATAAGAAAAATGGCAGCCAGGAAAACTTCACCGTACAATTGACAAAGTGCAGACGTTATTGGTTATTGGTGGTTATTTGGTTGCCAGTGAATGAATTTCAGAAAGTGTCGAGCTGAAGATAATGTCATGGCAGTTTCATGTGGCGTTGCTATGGCGATTAGCTTAGAATCCCACCTACACTGAGGGGGTACTATCAGAGGTGAAAAACAAAATAAAGAAAATGACCTGGTACTGACATGGACTGCACTTGTTTTCCCCCTTTTAGTCTTCCGATCACTCAAAGTGCTTTTACACTACTGAGTCACATTCACCCATTCACACACACAGTCACACATTGGTGGCTGAGGCTACCATACATGGTGCCACCTGCTACTCAGTTAGCATTCACATGCTTTCACACACTGATGGAACAGCCATCGGGAGCAATTTGGGGTTCAGTATCTTGCCCAAGGATACATCGACATGTGGAGAAGCTGGGGATCCAACCGCCAATCTTCCAATTAGTAGACAACCTGCTCTACCTCTGAGCCACAGCCGCCCATATAAACAGTCGAGATAAGACAAGTTGGGCCGAACCATGCAGTGGAAATGAAGCGTTAGACAGGAGGCGGAGATGTAGGAGTCATTTTCAAAATGAATAGAACAATAAAACACAGTGCAGAATCAGTGCACAAGGTTTCTGTACCTAACAATTTTTTTCGAATGATGGAAAGACTAGCTACAGACATCCATCTATACTTACTCCACAAATTTGCCTCAAGTGCACTTAAAGTCCACCGAATTAGATTTTTCCACCACTTTGAATTCTTGATCAACACCTCCTAAACCATAGGTCTAATTTGTACCAACTCTTTCTATGAGTCATAATTGGACAAAGCTTAGCAAGAGTTGCATAAAGTTTGAACATATTGACCAATGAAGGGGCATGGCTCTGCACCTAAATAGACCGTACTCCACAACAGTTGGGCCAATCATCATAAAACTTGCAGGATATGTCCACATAAGTAACTTAAACATACTCTGAAAGTTTCATTCATATTGACCACAAAGGGGTGCTGCAAATGCAAAACAACGACATAGCATAACACAAATCAGAAACTGTTTGACCAATCATAACAAAACTCACAGGATATGTTTCTTAACAACGTTGAATCATGTGTGTAAAATCACTGGAAATTACTTTAGAGGGGGACACCAGTTGCAAACATGTGCATTGACCTGGTGCAAATTTGGCCATAAATCAGCGACAGTTTGTCCAAACATCAATGAACTCTGGGGATATTTTCGATTAAGTTGTTAAAACATGTTGCCAAAATATTTTTGAAGTTGACCAAATGGCACAAGGTATTATTGTCAATAGCTACTCACCCCTGCTCCTCCATCATCTCCTGGAGCTCCATACATTTGAGCTCTACCCTCCTCTTCCTCTCGTGGTCCAGAATCTCTCGGTGTGGCTTTTTCACGAGGATGGGCTCTGCTTTGGACTCCACCTCCTCCTCTTCCTCTGTACAAGGCTGTCCCTCCTCAGTTTTAGCCTGCAGGATTGAGGTCGGCGTCGGCCCTCCCGATCCCGCAGCTGCTCCTGCTCCTGCTCCAGGCAACACGGGCTGGGCCATCCCGTTTGCACCATCTTTGGGAGATGGCACCCTTGCCGCATCGTACATGATTACTGAACTCTGTGGAGACACAGATGATGGAGAGAAATTGTCAGATGAACACAAGGTCTCATTTGGGAGGATTTTGGCTTTCGGCTGTTGTATTACTAAAGTCTGTGCACTGTTAATAGTGCTGGGAGTGAATACACACTTATACGCATGGCATACATTTCCTGAAATATATAAACTACAAAGCTGACAGATATTTTCCACACACACAGCCACATTCTGTCTCTACAACAACGTATTTGGACATACAGTACACCACAGACACTAAGAGGTGAGCTGAGATGTTAATACCTCTAGACAGGCTGCAGCATTTCTGCCAGAACTGAGCAGTACCCTCACACACACACCAGCATACTGTACACACACACACCTTCCCAACATGTAGACATGCATTGCCAGCGACAGCGCTGGCAGCAACTTCAACTTCTGCATGAGTCAACAGCCCAGTAGTGCCGCAAGGCAGGTTAGGGGCGAGAGAGTGTGAGTTAAATTCCTATTTAAAACTCTCTCGTCTTCTGGGCCAAATTGAAGCTGTAAACCAAGGTCATATACCACACACACAGCATGAGAGCCAGAGGAGGAAAAGAGCGGTAGAGGCTGTTTACATCTGGTGTTAATTGGCGTCTTGGGCGATCCAATCCCAAATGGACAGCTCTACGCCTGTCTGTTCACACCTGGCATCTCGAGTGACCACTTGTGTTTGGATCTCACTTCCCCGCTCCATATTCAAATACGCACATGCATCATTTCAGTTTGCAAAGACCAGACGTGTTGTTTTTACCTGGAGGGTGCTTCATCATGCTATATGTATACTTTGGTAAAGCTGGAAAGATATTCACAGATTCAAATTTTACATATCAACAACTCATAAGTGAAACATTTTCGTCACAGTGGACGCCTCAGACAAATATGCCACATCTTCTGGCCAAACAAAATCTCCAACCTTCAACTGTACATGCAAACAGGCTCCATCACCTAGGAAATCACACACAGATGTTTTAGATGGCCAAGCCATGTGCTAAGAATGGAATAGGGCCGGATCACGAGAGTTGCCTTAAGATGGACACCACAGTGCAAAAGATAACCTGGAAGGCACGAAAACCACCTGGCGCAGAAATGTGACACTGGGCCGGAATAGATGAGCCTGTCATGGGGAGAGGTACAACATGCTGCCACTGATCGAATGCAACGGAGAGAGCTCAATGAAACCTTATGTCCCATAGGGGGTGAAGAGTAAGTGAGTAAGTAAGAGCCATCCTCAGAGCTGGACAAGTAACACTGGTCTCTATATGCAGCTGGCCAAGTGGACAGGGATTGTCTACAATCAAAAAATACTTTTTTCAAAACTCCTTTGGGCTTCTTCCGCGCTAAGCTAGTTTTCTAAATTGAAGTTAGTACAATTAAACAAAATCCTCAGTAACACTAAGCAAAACCTTGTAAGCTACTGGTTAGCAATTAGCTTGCTACCTAGGTTCGCTATACTAACAAGTAAGCTTGCCAATAGGCTTAAATATTGCTCATTAACATTAGGAGTAAGGATAATATCATTTTCCAGTTGCAAAGACCTGCGAAGGACATATTTTCACTCCTTTTTAATAACCTACTCAAAACTATTTTTTGCAAGATTGCAGTGCTAGTGTTGATCCAGGACCATGACTGCCATGTTGACCCTGGATAATCTGTTTATGTTGATCTTGACCATCATAATGATCCTGAGTACAATCACTGGTGTTGATCCAGAACAATCACTGCTATGCTGATGTTAATATAAACAAATTATCCAGAATCAGCATGATGATGGTCCTGGATAAACCTAACCAAATCTATCCAGGATCAACATGGAAAAAAGGATGGAAAATTTTGCAACTGGAAAATGCTATTATCCTTACTTTTTGTTAGTGAACAGCTTACCTGTTAGCATAGCCTTCCTACTTAGCAAGCTGGTTTGCTAATATTCGTGTATATTGGCAAGTTTACTCATTAGCAAAGCCAATCTAGTTAGCAAGCTAACTTGCTAACCCCGCAGTAGCAGTAGGATTTTGTTCAATTGTCTCGGCTTCAATGGGGAAAATTGAACTCTCTATGAAGAAGCAAGAAGGAGTTTTGAGAGAAGCACAGGAGCAGCACACTGATGATGTCAGAGGGCTGTGATTGCAATGTTGGTCCGGTAATGCGATGTGGGATGTTGATCCAGGAGCATGTCCTACTTGGTAAAATCATGCTGTGTGTTAAATGGTACTGTGTGTACAGCTAATCTAATGAGACTCAAATAAGACAGAAATGCTAACAGTATGCTAACAGTATATTATATTATTTTGATCTGATCGACACTCCATACAACATACATTACCAGGTGTAAACAGGGCTGAAGGCACTAAGCAGTTTAATGACAGAGAGAAGTCTGTATCAACAACATGTAGAAAGTATCAGTTTGTCTTCAATATAACTTGATATTATTGTATCAACACTGCACTCCCTGTTTTTGACTCTCGACCTTTCTGTCTCTGGCTCGTTTACCAAGGAAAGGATAAGGTTGTCATTTTGGTGAATGAAAAAAAGTTGTCTGGTACAAGTGCTGCATGGACCGGGCTCTGATTAAGATGAATTGCCCTGTTGAGGCCACTGAAGAACATGCAGGAAGAGAGGACGGCCTTCACGTGCCCACGAGCCTCGGCTGCCCAGCTCCGCTCGTCTCACCCTGCCACTAATGGCTTCATTTTTCACTGAGAAGCCAAAACAGCCCAGCTGAGGCACTTCATCACTGTCTCATACAGAGGAGCAGAGACACGATGACACTGAGGCTGGACGGACAAGCGTCCAGAGCTACATGTCTCGCCTTACCCCGACTTATTTCATCTTATTGCTGGTAAGTGTGCAAGCAGCTCTTTCCATGCAGTCAGGCGTTTCTCTGCGTCTGAGCTGCTACTGGAAGTCTTTGACTGGTTAATAGGGATGTGCTTGTTTTTGAAGTGCTGCGAGCTGGTAAACGAGCCGTGGATGCGTGTGAGGCGACACAGCTCTCGGCTGACAGAACAGGTGGCAGGACAGCAGGAGGCATCATCGCTGAATCTATTATACAGTAAATCAGCACTTGATATTCCATGACAGCAATCTCTCATCTGCACACGCTCATCACAAAAAACAACTCTGTCTAATATTCCAGGGAGAAAAGCGCTCCGTCGCTCTGAGCGGACTTTAAAACGACATTCAGGTAGACAGGAACAACATAAAGGCCCTCTGTGTGCTGCAAATACTGAAATCTAAGTACGATGAAATATCTTAAATCAAGGCGATATGTGCTTGTTTTTGTCTGACATGATACGGGGCAGGTTTTATGTGAGAGCATTTCACTTGTTTCAAGCTTTTCTGTGCTTAATAATCCATTCTGAGTAGCTTGATGCTTAAAACTAGAATTACCGGGATTATAAAGCTGTCTGACAAAGCAGATTTTTGTAAATGTCAGTGTTGATCAAAGTCAGAATTTCTTATTTCAAACATCTTATCCTTTGCAGCTCTTCACATATTAAGAACAGATAATCAACAAACAGAATTCACTGTAGTGCAGAACAGCAATCATGTATTCTCATAGATAAAATACAGCACAGAATAAAGACACGTTTGACATCTGGGGAGTGCACTATAAGTCATTTGAAATGTTGTACACTTATGACATCATACAATACATTGACGGACTGCCAACCGTGACCACGACCCGCCATCGGAAAGCCTGTGAGCTGTGGCTTCACCTTTATGCACCCGGGCGTGACCGTGACGCCCTGTCTGCCTCAGCTGACAGCGTAACCCATCGCAGGGTCATGGTTAGGGCTGGGAATTGGTAAGATTTCATTGATACAGCTGCGATTATTGATTCTGCTCATCGGCCCAGTTCTTTATCGATCCCCTTATTGATTCATAATCAATTTTCTGTGTGGAAAAAAGTAGGCCTTCACAGCGTTTCAGTGTCAACACAACTGTTTTATTCATCTAGTAACCATAACCACCAGCTATAACCCCCTCATATTACAAGTTTCCAGCAGCGTATACACGCGTTTGATGCCATTGTTTTGCAATGTGCAGCTGTCAGACAAACATGCCAGCATCTATGAAGGGAACTGATATGGTCGGTGGCATACGATTCTGATGGATTGGAAAGTTTGGAAACAGTTCTCACTAGAAGCACTTCTCGATTACCATCCTTCGTAGTGTTTCCCAGCCACCAACGTGAACCTCCCCGCTTAAGTGGCAGGCCAGACACGATGTTTCTCAAACCCAATGCATTGTCCTCTCACCCACAGGTTCCCGCATGGATGCTTCGCTTTGCCTCACTGCTTCCAACAGCAGGGCTCCCTCACCCCAACACACAGTTGAGCAGGTGTCTGTGCCGACCCATGTACGAGGGCTACCTGGACATTTCTGCCAGTAGTATATACTCGTCTCAAAGATGAAGCCATGCAAGTTTAACTAGCTTATCAGAACACTGCTGCAGGTAAAAGTCATTATCAGAAACACTTGAGTCTCAATGACTGGGGCTGCCGCGGGCACTTGTTACTTTCTTCCCCTAAACTTCAGACTCTGCAGGGCCTGGTTCAGTGATGGCAATCATATTTGTTCATTTTAAGCCCATTTTTCAACATAGAGAAAAAACTGATATTTTATTTGTATCCAGATAAATGTCCTGTTTTTAGTCTGGCTGCATGAGTATTAAGATATCTGATTGTTCTTTTCGATGAGATCGTTTTATTTGTTAAAAAAATCTTGGCAGGTGAAATTCTCCTGTTCTGTTGGCAGATCATTTTCCTTCTATTAAGAAGTATTTTCTCTTGCTTTTGAGAGCTGACTTTTTGCAGTGTATGAGATTGGACGGCAGTCAATTAATATGACCTTGTTTTCCACTAATTGAAATGTCAGAGGAGAAACAATGGGTTGCTCTTCCTGCTTCCTGTCTTGCAGGTTTTTTTAATTAGACCACTGGCTGTGAAAGCTTCAGCTGGACAGCTCAAGTCTGGATCTTT